CATTGCACACGCGGTCTGGCAAACATCAAATGCCGGTAAATTTCGATTTGTCCTCCGGCCGAACAATGTGGCGCCTCGTCTACCCTCAACATTTTCGTGTGTGTGCCTTTCGGGAGCCTCTTGACCAATAAGCTAAAAGGCGCCCAAAAACAACACAGACTTCTTTATATTTATATACTATACACGCGCGTCTTATTTTTTCACCCTAAACGGGCACACACAAACACGGATGTTGCCCTCGTTACAAAACAAACTCGACCGAGAGTGTGTGTATCTTTTTTTATCCGACGAAGCCCATCCCCGCGTGTGTACAGCACAAATGCGCCTGTCTATCTACACATTTAATAATATCATGAGAAGATGTATATATATATATATATATATACACACACATGCAACACCGCCGGGATGACTTCTTGTATGTTTTGGGCCAAGGGGGTGTATAGAATGTTGTTTACGTGAGAACCGTGGGATCACGCGGTACATAGCCCCCGCGCTTTTTAATGCAACATAAGCGCTTGTATGTGTACAAATCAAGCGGTACGGTATCGTGTTACCATATTTTATGTATTATTAATATTTTTGAAGTGCCGCAGTCCTTTTTGAATGACCGCGATACTTAACCGTGGACTTTGGCCTCTGCCGCAGTATTTTACACAATGCATACCATATAATATAATATTATACAATAGCGATTGGTTCTAAAACGAGTTATTTTGTTGAGAAATTTGTAAACGTTACGAAGCCCTGCAAATCGGTTTGGAATTAGTAAAAAAAAAAAAAAATACACTAATTTGTTTAGATTGTTATTTCAATCCGTTTGAGCGGTCCTAAACGATTTTTCTCCTTAACCGTATTTGTTGATGTTACAAACATTAGCGAAGTCACATTTAGTCGGCCGAATTTACTTTAGAAATTATTTTCAAAACCTTTTTAAAACTTTGTAAAATTAACTTTTTTTTAACCTAGTACTCAAAAAAGTACTTAATACTATAAAAATCATTATTAAAAAAATACTTTAAAACTATAGTAAAAAATGTATTTTTATAAATAAATTTTGTGTTTGATGCAATAACTTTTTTAAAAATTATTTTCATTTTTTTGTACAGATTAACTATTTACTCGTTTACTCAGGGTGCAAAGCTAAAAAGAGGCGCACTAACTCCTCCTCACCCTATGGCCTATCATTTCTCCTGGCTATATGTACCGTTATACGATTAGAACGTTATAATTTAATATGACAATTTATGCAATTAGAAACCACTTTGGCCGCTCAAGTGTAGGCGTATTAAAGTTATAAAAATATCATATGTATATTATAATAACATTATTCGTTTAACCTGCTGTGTCGTTAATAAATAATATTTACTACAATATGTGACGAGGGCTAGCGTATATTTGTTTCACAAAGATTAAATGATCAGGAACTTGGAAAAAATAAGTAAAATAGTTAAAAAAGTATATATTATCTAAAAAAATTACTTTAGTAACTATATATTATATACACGGGTGAATTCTGAAAATGGCTCCATAATGGAGTGTGGGTTTCGATTCCATACATTATTGTATATTTTTTTTTTTTGTAGAATATAATTTTTGTCCGCCCGGATGAGTTCCTCTTGACGGCCGGCTCCGCTCCTATCTATATGTAGGTACAGCTGGCGCCTGTAATTCGCGCAAGTCATTGGGTTTATATATAAATAAATATTGGTTTCACCGTTGACGGCGTAACCTCGGGTCTGGGCCGACAACGAAACCGGCCTCGTCGCCGTCTCGTCATAATAATATTATATTTTATATTAAAACCGCTCGGTTCGTTAATAATAAAGTACCGGGTCTCTAGTCCTTAAAAATATATAGGTTAGGTACTTATAACGTCTAATGCTGCGACTAATGTGTGCAGTTGGTATGTCCGGTAGTCAGCGGTCATTGTGGCGCAGACACCGTGGTTCGGTAAATAATATTCGATTATTATCATTGTCAAGAAGCTATCTAAAGCGGGGTTGAATCTGTAAAAAATCACCTCCTTCTTTTACGAAGTCGGTTAAAAAACGAAAGAAAGAAAGAAAGGAGAAAGGAAATGTATATTATCATAATAAAAAAAAATTGTCAACAACGTGTGTGTGTGTGTGGGTGGGTACACGTGTATATTATAATATTATTATTGTTTGTGGATCCTTTTGGAATTCTCGGACGGTCGTGCTTGGCCAAAAAAAAAAAAACGCGCACGATGACGCGATGGCGACGACACGGTGTATATAATATATATTTACCACACGGTTTTGGGTTTAAAATCGTCAATGTCATCGTCGTTAAATAAACATGGCACCGGCCACGGCAGAGTCATTAAATTGTCAAGTGCTTATATAAATATAATATATACGCTATATACAGAGCTCGGTGGGCGGATACACCGGGGGGGCCTGTGAAGGCTGTGCTCGCCACACACACACACACACACATACGGAAATATAACGCCTACCAGGCAAGGCGACTACAATATAATAATATTATGTGTAGAAAATAACCCCCAAAAAAAAAAAAAAATCCAAAATCATATTGCAATTACCGTTCCGGGTTTAAAGTTAATATTGTATTATATTATGTACATGTATCTATACTGAAAATCACACTGCGCACGCCGCGACGCACGTTATTATATTATTATTGTATAATAATAATAATAATAATATGTGCGTTCCCTCGTCGTTATGCATTGTTACCGAACCGCACAAGCACAATACGATTTTGATTGTTGTAGAAAGCAAAAAAAAAAACCGTCGCCGTTGCTAGACTTTTCCCCTATATGTAGTTTCGCCCACAGACAGTATATTACTTCCCTCGCCGTATCCGAATGCCTCGCGGCCTCGACTTAGCGCTGTCTGTGTACATATAATATGCGCTCGGACGTCGGTCCGATAAAAAGGATTCTACAAAGACAATCGGAGAGAAAAAAAGAAGACTTTTCCGCGTTTCACTCGACCCCGGCAATCGCCGTTTCAATCTAATTCCAGTAATATTTTTTATATTATGACGACCGACGATCATAGGGAAAAAATATGATTTTCTTTTGTGCGTTTTCAAGTCTATAAGACGTGTACGGACCGCCGCCATCCTGTACATACTAATACGGAACTCTATATATACTTGCACCTCGGCGAAGGGGGTAGTATATAAAATACGGGGAATGGGGATGTTTTTGTACGGCCGATTAGGCGTCGTTGTCGTCCGGGTTAGCGAGCGATTAAATAGGGCGAGGGTGCTGCCCGTGCGCGTTCAAAAGACCGCTAACAGGATAAAAGAGAGTGTATGAAAACATAATAACACACATACACACACCGTGAAATATGTTAGTGATTCGCGACGAGCACCGACGTGCAATTTGTGTACAGCAGCAACTCGCGTGTGCTGGCCAATTGATATCCTATACATGGGAAATCCTCTAAGGCGCAGATGGCGTGAAATCGACTTGTGCGTTTTACACATTTTATTTACAATAACACAACGAATCTATACCTCACTTCGGCCGCCGCTATATGGTCAGGATTAATCGTCAGGGGATAATAGAAATAGTATTATTATAAATTTAAGCAAATAAACTAAAGGAGCTCGTGAAAAAAAAAAAAAAACAGAACTAGAACGGTATTCACAGTGTAGTGTATTCGGCGTACAATGAATAATAGAATAATTGGGGACAGGTAGGCAGGTCGTTCAAACTTGACAATCTTTATAACTCTACTACAGAAAGCTATGTGGTGAGGAGTTGTAAGGCCAAGAAGGTAGGTATGGAAATAAGTTTTAAAAAGTACATCAGTAAGAGGTATTATAATATAGCAAATACACGCGTGACTTGAGCGGACTGCCCGTGACACTTGAAGGGGTAAAAAAGAGTGACCGGCCGAAGTCTTGATTGATGTTAACAGTAAAGCGTGGGTCTTTTAAATTGTACCGATTGTATTCGTATTAAACGTGATTAGTGTGTGTATGGCGCCCGGTATAGTGGCGAGGGGAGGGCGACATCCTTTCAACCGAAATCACCGCGTATTCTCTTGACGTTCTATACTATGTTATACAGTTTATAATATTATAGGTCCCCGCGGCACTTCCCGTCTATTATTGTCGTTCATATCCGCAAAAAAAAAAATGTTTAATAGCCCGTTATTAACGTCAAAAGTACCGCGTGAAAATGGGCTAGCACGTTATAATTAATGACCTCGTAGTCAATTTCCAGCGAGTTTAGCTGTTAATGGAGCTTTAGCTATAATAATAATTGTGTTTATACTATATTATAAATTGTATCTGCGACAGCGTTGGGAATTCTTCAGTATAGATAATTTTGTATAGTATACCGACAGAGTAGTAGTAATTATAAAAGGTTATTTACCCCTTTACATTTTTAAAGTAAACAATATCATTTTGCGTAGGAACGGCGTACACAGGTGCGTTAAAAAACGTTTTGCAATAGATAAATTGACGTGATTGTGCACCACAGTTTAGGCAACACCGCGCATGGAGCTGGATTGTTAATTATTATAATTTATACTCATTAAAAATTATGTGGTGGCGGTTTGGCGTAATTTCACTGCTCGTTAAACTGTCGCCTATGTAGTAAGCATACACGTTATATCGTACGATTTATACTTGACTGTATTATACGATTATAAACGATTGGTACTACTATTTTTAAGTATTTTAATAAACAAATGTTAAATTAAAATTATATATATATATATATAATAGTTCAAACAAAATCCGTAAACATCGAATAATTAAAATTTCCATAGATTATCTATAAATCGATTTTTATTTTTTAACGAATATTTCTTAATTTAGACACATATTTTTTCTACAATTTGTATCTAAAATGAGTGTTGAGACTTTTGACTAATAATAACGGGTTTTATGAAAACTTGAATTTTCATGTAACGGACATGATTTTCCGTACAGTATAATTTCTAGTTAATGTTACTAATACGTTTTGTATTTGTCTGTGTTGGCAGGATGCAACATCAACAACTGGCCGCCCAACTGGCCCATTCCGGCGGACGGCACCTGAACCTGAGGCGGTCCATGTCGCCGGGGGCGATGAGCACCACAGACTCCGAGTCCAGCATAAGCCTGGGCGCCCCTTCGCCCGGGCCGCCGCCCTCGCTGCAGTCGCTGCCTCCCCAGCTCATGTCGGTCGACCCGCCGCGCATAGGCCTCACCAACCCTTCGGCGTGCACGCTACCGCAACCGCTGGCGCTGCACAGGCCGTTCACGTGATACAGTCCCACTCGCCCGCCCATTAGCGGCTGGTGAATCGACCTGATAAGAAATACACACAAACCCGGCAAACAAGTATAAGTACATAACCGAAAAAATCCGGCAGTATTGTGTACAATGTTTTTTTATTTCCCCGGCCAAGTCAAAACGACCCGAGTCTTATACAATATACAACAATATTATTCTTTTTGCCAGTGCCGTGCTGCCTGTTTAGGTATCCTGGATACCATGGTTAAAAAAAAGGGCAACAGTCTTCTCTGTCGTTATTATAAGGCGTGTGCTACCTTATGGCACTTGTCCTACCCCCCCCCCCCCCCCACTTGGCACGGCTCTGTTCTTCGCAACAAAAAAAAAAAACGTGTATACTATACGCAATCAACGCTGTTTGTTATATCGCGGTATGCGTTAATTTCGATTAAATTATTTTGTACATATTATATTATTAAAAAAAAAAAAATTGTGATACCGTTTGACATAATAATTACTCTAAACGCAACAGTAATACTATTACTATTATTATTATTATATAGGTAACTACAATCGCGCATGTTTCACCGCTTGGCATTTGGACAAGTTTGCTGTCACAAATACATAATAATATTGTTATTATCTTATAATAAATTCACGAGACAAAATAACGACTTTGGTTTTACATATTTGATTACAATAATATTGTGACGTGCAAGAAGTGTTTACTATTATTTATATTATAAATGTCTGTCGGTTGAGATATGTTGGTTTTAGCATTTTATACAGCGACCCTCCGTACATCATTGTTATTTATATTTGGAAAAAACACATACTAAATAATAAAGAAATTGTAAATTGTATTTAATATTTAAATCATGACCGCTTTGACTATACGAAACTAAATAATAAAGAAATTGTAAATTGTATTTATTATTCAAATCATGACCGCTTTGACTATACGAAACTCACCATCCTGTAGCTTATACATACCTTACATACACATAGCTATTGTACCTTCCCATAATATTATATAACAATTATTACTATTATTTATACATAGTATAGTTTATATAGATATTTGTAATTATATACATATAATAATATATATTTGGTATACTTATTTTACTATTAGTACGTTTAAACGCGGTGCAATTATCATAACATTTTACATAGTGTATTGTACATATATATATATATATACGTGTAAACTTTCCTTATTTAAATTATACATGATAATATATTTATAAAAGAAATATGTATGTGTACGTAGCAGTATATAATAGTTTATTTATTGTATTTCGATAACATTTATATAATGTGTATTAAAAAAAAACAATAGGATTTCATCAGATATTCTACGGCTCACGATCATAATAATTAAATAATCTGTATTGAAACCCTATAATACTATATTATATTAGCTTGCATTTTTTTGTTTGTGTTATTTCCATTTATAAGAATATAATATATTAATTGTATTGTAGTATTTACTATATAATATACCAACAACGAGCCGTGTGGTGTCGTTTTAAATCTGCTCTGCGACCACTGTAAAAAAATATATATAAATATTTGAAGCTGTTTATAACGATACAAAAAACACCTAAATATATATTATTATTAATTGTTTGTTACTTATGTGTCATTATTTTCTTTTTATCGGCGACCGATACTAAAATATTCGTTGAATATTTAATATTATATGAATTTACATTTTTTTCGTTTGGAACGTTGCTCGGTCAGGAAGGCCACCGCGGTCGAAACGGCGCACATTTATGTATATGCTATACGAGACTTATTATTATTATTGTTATTAATTTAATAATATCTTTTCGTTTTGAGTGACACCTCTAGAATACTTAAGTCGCACACAAACCGCGATCATACTGCTATATATATATATATATAATAATATAATGTCGGTACGTGATTTATTCGGGAACCAACGGATTACCTTTGCGGACCCGCTCTGGACGTATCTATCATTCATAATATATATACATAAATACATTATATAAAAACGTATGTATATATTGGGAATAATACAAGAGATTCGAGAGATTATAACGCTCTAACGCGCTTGACCATCACGTGCTTGAGACAACATAATCATATGTAGTATGCCAGCCATTATGTTGTGTACCTATAGTAGCCTGTTGCCAGGTAAAACACACATAATATAATATTGACAAAGTATCGGATATATTAAAGGAAAACAAAAATCATAACCGGCGACGATCGGTCAGACTCAAAACTCTTTTTCAGTATCCAATGCATACCGGTTAAACATTTTTCAACTTAATACCTAAAAATATATTATGTTGACTGTTTGTTGGACTTTTCGTTTCAATAACACAACGAAAGCACCGCAGCGTTCTCACTAACATAATATGAAGAAAGAGTGACGAATGACCGATGTCGCTGCTCAATTAAACATTTTATTTAATATACTCAATTATAATTAAAATTATGATAATAGTTGATAGTTCTAACTTCTAATAGTAAGTATACATACCATTGTTTTAAACAACAAGGAACTATAAACGATACAGCATATTAATACATATACAAATGGTTATTTTTTCGCATACACAAATCTCGTTGTGAGTTGAGTGAAGACCTTTTTTGTGTTGTGTTGTAAACAACTATGATTAATTACTATAGTTAGTCCATTATTACACGCTTTCCGGTTATGGTTCCGGACGCAAGCACAAGACATTAAATACACTTAAATTGGTACCACAAGTATACAGCACCGCTATATATTATACACATATCGTTTTATACTTGTAATAGTGCTGGATTGCTACATTGTACACACACACGTTCATATACACACATAGCACCTACATATTAGTACAAGTCTGGTTAGCAAACCTTAATTATAACTATATGAAGCCTGGAGGCGACTCGTTCGATTTATTTTGATTGGCATAAGGAGAGAGGTCTAAAAATAAGTATACCTGACTTCCGTGTATATGTATATGTGTATATATATATATATATATATATATATATATATATATATATATGTTTATTGAGTGTACATCTGTAATCTACAGTGCAGTTGCATAAATATATTTGAAATTTGAATAACCCAGAAAATAGTTTTGTCGATTTAAACACAAAAACAAGTAGGTAGGCACACCTTACAAGTCGAGGTTGGGTAAGGCTTAAGTATTATTATTGGGCGCAAATTAAGGTTGAAAGAGCTAGAAAGGGACTAAAAAAATGCATAAGTTCAAATTGCATTATAGGCATTATGATTTTGGTTCTAAAAATGTTTAGACGGTAGTTCTAGTATATAAAAAAAGTGTACTTTTAATTATAGTAGTATACAATTTTTAGTTTTTCCTAATTCCACTAAAATAATTTATTTATATTTTGTATTTCCATAACATGTAGTTTCAGAAAATTATGTTGGGTATTTCGTTACAACAAGATGGGCGAAATTCTTGAATAAAGATAGAGCTCTGAAGGAATGTAGGAATTTGAACATATATTTAATATCAAATATAAAATTCCACCATTTTCAAAGTAGTTAAAGTGTTAATTTTACTTTACTTTGATACCTTTACATTTTACTTTTTCCAAGAATTTAATGAATACTTGGGATACAAAATAGGGAATTTTTACACGTAGGTACATTGTATAATTTATACAAGTACTGTGTAGTTAATAAGTACCTATAGGTACTTATGCACTCAACATTTTTGTAAATCAATTTGCTTGACTGAAATAATAAATTGAAGTATATTAAATACAATATTTCTGAATTAGGTACACTAAAACATACAAATAGGAATAACACATTTTATGTATTAAAACTTCAGTAATCATTTTCAGACATCTATGTTTCGCAAACAATTCTTTATTGTTAAAAATTATATATATTTTTCTTTATTTATAATAATAAGAAACATAGTATAATAATTCGGTATGTTCTATTATTTTTACTTGTATACGTAATTATTAATACTTTGGGACTCGTTAGGATATATTTGTCAGACATAAAACTACTTACTGCGTGTTGCCCTACGTTCACTTGTATAATGGTTTTTTTTTTTTTTTTTTTAAGAAGGGAGACCGAAGTGATTATTTAGGGGAAATCTCAACGCTGTCATGTTCGGATAATACGTCTTTGGTAAAGACCATTAGTACATATACATATAATATATATACAGACAGAGTGTAGGGTTTTGATTTTGTTATTAAAGGCACTGCCGTGGTACGGACTATGGTGGGTTTAACGCTTAACAAAACAGCCGAGGGACTCGCCGGGCTGCTCTAAGCGACGTCGTTTAATGCGCTTATGCAACCGCAACTTCAGTGTTGTTTTAATTTTTTCCCCCTTCAGTTTAATGCCAATTAATCTCGGATATACATACACGAAATATAACGCAAGCGTCGGGCCTCGGCAAGGCGAGAGAGAGAGAGAGAGAGAGAAAAGTAAGAGAGAGCATTGTCAAAAGCTAAGGTGCGGATCAAAAGCGCAACAACAACAACCACAACGACAATACAAAATATATACACATGTATATTATTCATATGTACAGAGGATCCCGCCAAAAGGGTATTAATCGGAATTTCAGGAGGGCGGCTGCGATATACGGTCACGAGTAGGTGTGAATTCCTATATATATATATTATCAGTACTACTATTATAGCACCAACGGGCCGGGATGGATGGCTATGTGTGGGTGGAGTCAAATCTAAAAGCTCAGCTGCCAAAGTATAGCTTTTAGCGAACATACCGCAAAAGCCGTTTGCTCAGTGCCCGATTATCTTCCCTTCCTTTCATCACTATGTACCCTTGTCGGTTCCCAGACCCGAAGACCGGCAAAAGGGGTCGAAATGGCAATACATTATAATATATATATTATGTGTGCGGAAGGTTTCAAAATCACTTAAAGGCCAACGCCGTAAGCCGATTTACCGCCGTCGCCATCGCGTTATGCGTTGTAATCGTAACTAACGCATTAAAACTTGGCCACAGCCGTACAATTTTCCCGAAGAAAGAAAAAAAACTTTTAAAAAACTTTTGGTTTAGACGACCTGATTATACAATTAGTTTAAGAACTTTTTATGTATAGTAAAAGGCATAATATGTATTTTGTAAGGCATTATCAAATTTCTTTCATCTAATTGATCTATCTAGATGAATTTAATCTAGGAAAAACTTAAGCAACACTTGTGCTTGTATAGTAAAGAATTAAATAATAAAATCGTAGCATAAAATAATAGAATAATCATAGCAAAAATTAGTAATATAAGACTATATATAGTTGGAGTAACTAAATAAATAGTTGGACCAACTATATTTATAGTGAATGCAAGTTGCAACT